CTGGCCCCTCCTGATTACATGACCAAAGTACAAGAAATGAAATCTGGCCATTCTCACTTCTTAGGAGCATTCTAGCTGTACTTCCTCCAAGACAGGTTTGTTCATACTTCTGGCAGTCCATGGCATATTCAGTATTCTTTGCACACACCAGAATTCAAATACATCGATTCTTCTGCAGTCTCCCTTATTCATCCATCATCCAGCTCTCACAAGCATATGAGGCAATTGAAAATACCACAGTCGGGTTAGGCACAGTTTAGTCTTCAAAGTGACATCTCTGCTCTGTAACAGTTTCAAGAGATCTTTTGCAGCAGATTTGCCCAATGCAATACATTGCTTGATTTCTTGACTGCTCTTTCCATGATCATTGATTGTGGATCCAAGGAATATGAAATCCTTGACAACTTCAATTTTTTCTCCATTTATCATGATGTTGCTTATTGGTCCAGTTGGAGAATTTTTGTTTTCTTGGTGTGGAGGTGTAATCCATACTGAAAGTTGTAGTCTTTGATCCTCATAGGTAAGTGCTTCAGGTCTTCTTCACTTTCAGCAAGGAAGGTTGTGTCATCTGCATATCAAATGTGGTTAACGAGTCTTCCTCCATTCCTGATATAGCCCATCTTCTCAGATTACTTGCTCAGCATATAGATTGAATAAGTGTGGTGAAAGGATACAGCCCTGATGCACACCTTTCCTGATTTTTAAACATGCAATATCCCTTTGATCTGTTCAATTACTGCCTCTTGGTCTGTGTACAAGTACCTCATGACATCATTAAATGATCTGGAATTCCCATTCTTCAGAATGTAATCCATAATTTGTTATGATCCACACTGTTGAATGCCTTTGCATAGTCAGTAAAGCATAGGTAAACATCTTTCTGGTATTTGCTTTCAGCTAAGACCCATCTGACATAAGCAATGATTATCCTTCGTTCCACATTCTCTTCTGAATATGACTTGAATTTTTTACGGTTCTCTGTCAATATACTGCTGCAACCATTTTTGAATCATCTTCAGCAAAGTTTTACTTGCATGTGATATTAATGATATTGTTAGATAATTTCTGCCTTCTGTTGGATCACCTTTCTTTGTAATGTTCGCAAATACAGATCTCTTCCAGTCGATTGGCCAGGTAGGCTATCTTCTAAATTTCTTGACATAAATGAGTGAGCACTTCCAGCATTGCATCTATTTGTTAAAACATCTTAATGGATATTCCTTTCGATTCCTGAAGTCTTGATATTGTCCATTCTTTCAGTGCAGCTTCAGCTTCTTCCTTTGATCTTTGGTTTTTGATCATATGGTATCTCCTGAAATGGGTGGATGTCAACCAATTCTTTTTGGTACAGTGCATTTCTTCTATCTTCATTTGGTGCGTCCTGCATCATTCAATATCTTGCCCATAGAATTCTTCAGTATTGTAGTTTAAGTCTCAATTTTTTTTTCTTCAGTTCTTTCAGCTTAAGAAATGCTGAGCATCTTCTTCCTTTTTGGTTTTCTAACTCCAGGTGTTTGCACATTTTATTATAATACTTTACTTTGTCTTCTTGAGCTGTCTTTTGAAATCTTCCATTCAGCCCTTTTACTTCATCATTTCTTCCATTCACTTTACGTACTCTCCGTTCAAGAGCAATTTTCACCACTCATCTGTCGGTTTGTCATACTGTGGTGGCTTACATGTTGCTGTGATGCTGGAAGCTATGCCACCAGTTTTTCAGATACCAGCAGGGTCACCCATGGTGAACAGGTGTCAATGGAGCTTCCAGGCTAAGACAGACTAGGAAGAAGGAGAAGGCATTCTACTTCTGAAAAAATTGGCCATGAGAACCTTATGAATAGCAAGGTTTAGTATATAGTGCTGGAGGATGAGCCCCTCAGCTTGGAAGGCACTTAAAATACAACTGGGGAAGAGCTGCCTTCTTAAAGTAGAAGTGACCTTAATGACATGATGAAGTAAAGCTTTCAGGATCTTCATTTGGTGATGTAGCATGACTGAAAATGAGAAGAAACAGCTGCAAATATCCATTAATAGTCAGAATGTGGATTGTATAGACTGCTAATTTAGGAAAATTAGAGGTTGTCAAAAATGAAATGGAATGCGTAAAGATCAATATCCTGGGCATTAGTGAGCTGAAATTGACTGGTATTGGCCATTTTGAATCAGACAATCATATGGTCTACTATGCCAGGAATGACAAATTGAAGAGGAATGGCATAACATTCATCATCAAAAAGAACATTTCAAGATCTGTCTTGAAGTACAATGCTGTCAGTGATAGGATAATATCCATATGCCTACAAAGAAGACCAGTTCATAGTATCATTATTCAAATTTACACACCAACCTCTTAAAGCCAAAGATGAAGAAATTGAAGATTTTTACCAGTTTCTGCAGCCTGAAATTGACCCAACATAGAATCAAGATGTATTGATAATTATTGGTGATTGGAATGTGAAAATTGGAAACAACAAAGAAGCATTGGTAGCTGCAAAATATGGCCTTGGTGATAGAAATGATTCCAGAGATGGCATGATAGAATTTTGCAAAACTAACAACTTATTCATTGCAAATACATTTTTCAACAACATAAATGTCGACTATACATGTGGACCTTGACAGATGAAATACACAGGAATCAAATCAACTGTATCTGTGGAAAGAGGTAATGGAGAAACTCAATATCATCAGTCAAGACAAGGCCAGGGGCCAACTGTGGAATACACAGTCAGTTGCTTATATCCAATTAAGTTGAAGCTGAAGAAAATAAAACAGGTCCATGACAGCCAAAATATGGCCTTGAGTATATATCCCACCTGAATTTAGAGATCATCTAGAAAAAAGATTTGTTGTATTGAATACCAATAACTGAAATCAGAGGAGTTGTGGGATGACATCAAGAGCATCATACATGAAGAAAGCAAAGGATCATTTTTTAAAAAAGAAGAAGAAGAAAGAAAGAAATGACCAAAATGCATGTCAGAAGAGACTCTGAGACTTGCTCTTGAAAGGAGTCAGAATATGGAGGTCAGCAATTTGTGTTTTAACAAACTTTTCAGGTGATTCTGTTACATATTCAAGTTGAGAACTGCTCTCTTCTAACTACTGTAACACCTTTATTTAGACATCACAGTAAAACAGATCACCCAGAGCATTGCAAGCTATAGTTAGAAATTGATATTTAATCTGAGCCTAATTAGAAGCCATTGAAGGGAAGTGATGTGATCTAAATTATGGGATGAAAGAGTCATTTTGGCTGCTGTGTGAAGAATAGATCAGACTTCAATTGAAATGGGTCCTTACTATATATTATAGCATTCCAAAGTGGTCCACTTAACTACTATTCAGGTTATTCTCAGAGCTCAATTAATTTTAATAGCAATAAAAGATATCTTCATTACATGTAGTACTGATTTTAATATAATTGAAATACATATATAGTCTAATTTAAAAGCATAATTTATAATACCATTAGTTATATACTGTATTTTTACACAAATAACATATTTTTACACAAATAACATATTTTTACACAAATAACATGTGGCTTCTACCTTTGTTTGCTGACTGGTCCTACTCCACCAGGAGGCATTTTTGTAAATATGCTATGGCACTTTTTTTTTTTTTTTTACAGCAACATGTGAAAAAAAAATTGACATAGTGACGCATAAGAATATATTCCTGGGAGGAGAGTGCAGATGGCAAACAAACGTACAAGGCATGTGTTACTTGCGTAAGATACTGTTTATCTACCTATGGATGTGAAGAATCCCTGGGTGGTGTGAACAGTTAAGTGCTAGGTTACTACCAAAAGGCTGGTAGTTTGAACATAACTAGAAATAAGTCATAGAGAAAGGTATGGTGATCTCCTTCTAAAAGATCACAGCCATTGAAAACCTTGTGGCATGCAGTTCTGTTCTTATAAGCACATGGGGTTGCCATCAGTGAGAATCATCTTGACAAGTAACTGGGTTGATTTATGTGAATATGTGTGTATGCATGTGCTTGTGTGTATTTGTTGTTGTTGTTATGTGCTGTCGAGTCGGCCCTGACTCATTGCGATCCCTCCTTGGGTTTCCAAGGCAGTATCACTACAGACGTAGATTGCCCAACCTTCCTTCCGAGGAGTGGCTGGTGGGTTTGAACCTCCAGCCTTCTTGTTAGCAGTCAAGTGCCTTAGGCACTGTGTATAGTAAAGTATTAATTACTATGATTATCTTAGAATTCAGTGTACTTGATTTGGACCCCTGTTTACGTGATCATATATGAAAACACCACTAATTTAGAAGATTAAAAGAGATTCAGTTTAGGAAGGAATGAAAATAAATCCTGAAAAATATAAGTCTCCCAGTTACTTCTTTTAAATCTGTAAAATAACCCATTTACTGCTGACATGAAATAAGTCTAGCAGGTGCTAACGACATACTAGATGTCTCAGATGTAATGATCTCTCAAATAGATAAAATTGTTGTCATGGAGTTGCCGTGTGTGTGTGTGTGTGTGTGTGTGTGTGTGTGTGTGTGTGTGGTGGAGTTGTTGCTTACTCATATAGATTCTGTATAACAGAGTGGAACTGGTCCATGGGTTTCCTAGGCTGTGTTCTTTATGGGAGCACATCAGCAGGTCTTTTCTCCCTCCTATGGGTTCAAACCACTGACCTTTTAGTTAGCAGCCAAACACTTAACCACTGCACCACAAGGACACCTTGCAAGTAAAAGGAGGTTAATTAAACTAGATTAGTTTATATTATTACTAAAATAATTAATCATGATTACTACTAGATTATTTCATTTTGCCTTTAAATCTCCTGCTCTTGATTATTGAGAATATAAAACAATAAGTCATTTAATGCTGAAAATAAAAAATCTGTTTATCCAAACATATCAATAATCCATTTCAAATGGAAGTTTTATTTTCTTGAAAATTATGCACTTTTAAGATTTTTTTTATTTGTAAAATTAATCCTTTGTCTTTATGTGTTTTAAATTTAAAAAAAAAAGAGACAATCTTTTGAAAACAGTTGCTGATCACCAGCCAGGAAAACCTTTGTGTGGGATGAAGATTCTCGATGTTGGCTGTGGTGGTGGATTGCTAACTGAAGTAAGAAATGGATACAGGTTTCTTCCATTTTTAACTGAGAAACAAAAATTTACAGGGAATGAGTTTATGCCTCATTTATCTTTTCTACAAACAATATTGTTCACTGAAAACAAAAACAAAGAAATGCATGTGTTTTATTTGTTTGCAGAAGTAATACATGTTTATTATTATTACTAAATCTAAAAACTCTGGAAAGTATAGTGACTTTTTTTTTTTTTACAAAATGTGACATAGGTCATTTGAATAACAAAGTCCAAATAACAGGTTTTAGCAATTCTGTAAATCTCTTCTACCCCAACCAAACCAAAAACCAAACTTATTGCCGTTGAGTCGGATCCGACTCATAGTGACCCCTCTTTGGGTTATAGAGGCAGTGTCACTAGAGAAGTAGATTGCCTAATCTTCCTTCCAAGGAGTGGCTAGTGAGTTTGAACCTGCCAATCTTCTGAGTAGCCATCAAATGCCTTAGGCACTAGGCCAACAGAGCTCCCAAGAAATTAGGCAATTTCCAATAGTTTGAATGCAGTGATAGGCTGTCCTTTTGCACTAGTTTCAGTAACAGAACTTAACAAGAGTTTTGCCTTATGGGGCTCTTCCCTTCTTAGGTGTTTTTGAGTACTTGGAAGAGTAGTCATTTTTCCTGTGTAGAATATTTGCTTAACATATAGTAAATTTATGTCCTACAGCTCTCTTTTTTGTTGTTTTCTCTCAACGCAATGATTTTGGTTCTAATACTACAATATAATCTAATGTTTGAGAGATATTTTAAGCAACAGTGTGGGATGTAAATGCAAGTTACGATTCAGTGGAAAATGGTATTGTCAAGCCCACAGTTCAGCCTAGTTGACAGTGTGACTAGTTGATAGAGGCCGTTAATGCATGGCTAGGTTCTCACATGCATAGGCAGCATGCGTTGGAGTATAGCAAATTTTAGGGAAGTTGGAATATGTGAAAATACATCATTAGAATCAAGACTATATGGTGTATCATTCCTAAAAAAGGCCAGACCTACTGAACTGATAGAGATTAGAGGAACTCCCAATACTGTTGTCCTAAGATACCCTTTGAACGTAGAATTGAAGCTATTTCTGTAGGTCACCTTTCAGCCAAACAGTAGATTGGCTTATAAAATAAACAGTATCACCTGTGAATAATGTGTTTTCTTAAACAATTGGCTATGTGAGACCAAACGGTTAACATTTACCCAACATCAAAGGTGAGAAGGCAAGGAGGGGAAGGGAAACTAGATCAGCTGAAGCACAATGGAAATAATGTTTTGTCGAGCAACATCATAGAGTCTGCTACAGTAAAAGCAAAAGAGATTTATTGAGGGATAGAGACAGACGATGGCCACTCTACCAGACAATGAGGAAGAGAATATCTTTGTAGTGTTAGAGCAGGAACTAATACTGTAAAATCATAAATATCACAGGAGTCAAAAGCAATATATCTAAAAGCAAGTATTTAGCAGGGATAGGTGTATAACATTTTTGTGGGATTACATGATTCGTTAAGGGTACTTAATTGCAAGTGTACCTACTCTTCATTTTATTTCAGGATGGTCACAGGACAATAGCAGGACAGGTTTTTTAGGCTCCCTGCTATAAAAATTTCTTTCTCAATCATGTCTGTTTCCAGAGATCTTTTGTAAAATTTATTGATAATGCTGTACATCGAGACCCTTTGGGTATGTGCTATTACATCTTTGCAAAAATGATATGGGGGTGGCTTCCTGTGACCTCCTCTAACTTCACAAGGGGGAGACAGAATTACCATCAGCAGCATCAGCCCAAGACTGATTCCTGTGAGGTGGATATTGATCATGTTGCCACCCTCTATCCCTTTTACCAATTCTGACACCAACTGTCTCTCCCATGGCACTCTCTACTTCTCTGGTAGGTTTGATAATTTGTTACAAAACTCACAGACAGTATTCACAAGTATGGGGGTTATTAGGGAAGTAACAGGTTCCAGCTCAGGCTCAGGAAGACTCAGGGTACAGTTCTTTGATCAGAACACCTCAGCCATGCTGCGGCACACTTCTCTCAGGCCTCAGCCTCTGCCCTGCTCAGGCTGGTGTCACAAAACTCTTTCAGCTTTGTTAATAGGCTCCTAAAGAGGCACCCCAACTTTTTCAGCAAGGCTTCTGCCCAAAGGCTTTCTAGCTCCATGGACAAGGAAGTCTCCACTGTGCCTCATGATGATCTCTTGGTTCTGCTGTCTCTGCTGTTGCAGTTTCCCTGCTACCATCCCTCTGTCATTGTCTCAGTGAAGGGACCTCAAGTCCAAGGTTGCGCTCCACTTCTGGCTCTTCTTTCTTGATAGCAGGGAGAGTCTTCCTTTCCACCTCTGGGATGGTTCATTTGAAACCTAGCAGGATGGTAAAACTGATCAGTTCCCTGTTAGGGTTCCATACACCTTATTTGCATAGTCCCACCCCCATAAGGGTACCATGTACTTTATATACATTATTAACAAACTACCCAGTCTCCTTGGTGGGCAACAAAGGACCTCACATTTATATAGTTTCACAGAGTCATCAGGTGGAAGTCACAAAGCCCATGGCTAGAACAGTTATACTAAGTAATTGAGTGTACCACAGTCTTATATCTGTTTGACCAGAATAGAAATACCCCTTGGGAATACATTGTGATATCCTGCATCTCCCAGATTTCAGAAAAAAAGAATTTCTCCTTTAGGGTATATGGTCAGCATCAAGGTTAGAGGTATAGATTCTAGACTCATGTCAAGACTTTAAAATGGAGTTAAGGCTCTGCTTTCAGACTGCTCTATTTACACACACCAAGTGCCTCTGACTTGAGCTCTCATACAAAAGAGAATGCTGGAACATTGTAAAAATTGTAATCAGTGGCATGGAACAGAATGTATAAAAATCTCTAAAGGGGATCCTAATTTGCTGTTAAACTTTCACCTAAAACACAAAAAAATATTATTTTTTAAAAAACAGATATATACATATGGTCTATCAAATAATAAATGAATAAGATATTCTGGAGTCTATTCAAGGAGTTCCAGTGGAACAGTGGTTAAGGTATTTGGCTGCTAACCAGAAGACTAGTGGTTCAAACCTACCAGCTGCTCTGCAGGAGGCAAATGAGGCAATTTATTTCTAGAGTGATTTACAGCCTTGGAAACCCGATGGGTCGCTATGAGCCAGAATCTCTCAATGTATTATTGCATATCTTATGGCTCTAACATTACAAATAATGATTTGTACATTTAGCTTATTGACAATTTAGTGTAAATATTAGACAAATTTGATCAAAACTAAAGCTGTGCTTAACACTTGGGCATGTCATGGAAAGTGATTGAATATAAAAGTTTAAAGAATTAGCTCTGAAGAATAGTATCTAGTCAGTCTATTCTGTAGAAAATTTGAAAATCTCAGAAATTAGTTTTTACAATGGCATGTTTTATTTATTACACTTTAAATATGTTAGTACTGTACTGTGTGCATGTAAACATACCTAGAGAAAATATAGACAGAATTTATTTTTTCATTGTTCTCAAGTGGTTCTTAATAAGTTTTTTGTTTTGATTGTTCTCATTTTTAAGGTTTTTATGATGGAAAATTTCAGACATATACAAACTAGAGAAAATGGTATAATGAAGTCCTGTGTGCCCATGAACGATCTCCAGCATCCACCTCATGACTAATCTTGTTTCATTCTTGATAAACTTTTTTAGTGCCAGCATGTGTTCTGTTTTCTTCCTGAATGTAACAGTTTTTTATACCATTAGCCTCTAGGGCGGCTTGGGGCATCAATTCTTGGAATTGATCCTGTAGATGAGAACATTAAAACAGCACAGTATCATAAATCATTTGATCCAGTCCTGGCCAAGAGGATAGAGTACAAAGTCTGTTCTGTCGAAGAGATTGTGGAAGAAACCATAGAAACATTTGATGCCATCGTAGCTTCCGAGGTTGTAGAACATGTGATCGATCTAGAAGCATTTATACAGTGCTGCTGTCGAGTGTTGAAAGTAAGATTTATAGAATTTACTTGGCTTTTTTTTTTTTTTTTCTTTTGCATGTGTGCATATGCCCATAGCAATTAGCTGCCCCTTAACACTTTAGCAGTTCAGCAGGCATGGTATAGGGAAGGAGGAACTGGGAAGCTAAGCCACTATTAGGAGACAGCATCTCTGCTAGAGAGTCCTCCTGTTCCCAGTCTTCATATGTCAGCTTGGTCTCAATACCAGGATTTTTCAGTATCCTGTTTATATCTTCATTCCCAGGGATACTGGAAAATGTTGGTGCTGAAAAATTGGAAAATTGTACATTTATAGCAGTATTTCTCCATTTGTGTAGTCTAGATTAAACAGCTAAAAGACATTGAATGAAAAGTACCAAGAAATTGATTTGGATTGATACTAAAAATTTATCAATAAAAACAAACATTACCATAAACAAATGCTATGTGGTAGATAATGCTGAATATGATATATGTATTACAATTATCAGCTTATAAAAGAGAACTTTACATATAAGATTTCATTTAATTTTACCTGCAACAGGTAAGGAAGGTAAAGCAGGCATTGTTATCACCTCCTTTGCCAATGAGGACTTAGGATATGAGAGAGGTGATAGGCCACTGGCCTAGTAAATGGGTTTACTAGTCTTACAAGTCTGTTCTTCCTAATACATTGTTGTGCTTATATAATTTGCAGACTTAGACATCTTGAGTATGGTTTAAAATTTAACTCTTTATTTTAAAACAATTTTACATATATAGAAGAGTTGCAAAGATAGTAAAGAGTTTTCCCATATACTCCACACCCAGTTTCCTCTTATTTTACCATCTGACATAACCAGAGTTGAGACTAAGGTGAGGCAATCTAGGTGCCTAGGGCACAAAATTTAAGGAGGCATTCCTGCTAGGGTGGTGACCCAGCTGCACTTGCACAGCCCTGAGAGAGTATTTCAAATTTTATACTTTAGGTCCCTCACTTGCCTTACTCTAGTCCCAAACTTGGGCATAAAACCATGGTACATTTCTCAAAATTAAGAAATTAACATTGGTGAGATACTATTCATTACAATACAGACTTTGCTAAATTTGACTTTTTTCACTAAAGTCCTTTATCTATTGCAGGATCCAATCTAGGATTCCACCTTGCATTTAGTTAGAGTGTCTCTTTAGTCTCCTGCCATCTGTGAAGTTTCATGGTGTTTCTTCTTAAATGGAATTTTATTAGGTTTAGTTCCTATTTTCCAAGTATAACCAGTTAATTATTAGTTTTTATATTGTGTATCAGATTCGTTATGTATGAATGGATGTTCTTTCATACATATGAGGAATGCTGGCATTGTGGGCTTTAAAGCTAATTTCAGTTTTAATGTGAAGCTTATTTTTTTTGTAATGACCATTGTTTGCCACCATTTCCTTGGAATAAGATTTTGTAGAACACAGATTGTTGTTGTTGTTGTTATGTGCTGTGAAGTCGGACCCGACTCATAGCGACCCCTCCTTGGGTTTCTGAAGCAGTATCACTATGGAAGGAGCTCTAGGAGCATAGTGCCTAAGGCACTTGACTGCTAACCAGGAGGCTGGCGGTTCAAACCCACCAGCCACTCCTCGGAAGAAAGGTTGGGCAATCCTACTTCCGTAGTGATAACTGCCTTGGAAACCCAAGGAGGGGTCTCTAGGAGTCGGGGGCAACTCAACGGCAAATAACAACAAATCACTATGGAAGTAGATTGCCCAATCTTTCTTCTGAGGAGTGGCTGGTGGGTTTGAACCGCCAGCCTTCTGGTGAGCAGTCAAGTGCCTTAGGCACTATGCTACCAGAGCTCCTAGAACACAGATTAGATATTCATAAGTCATTTTTAGTAGTTTAGAATATTACTATTGTATAGAGAAAATTTACAACATGCGATGATGTAGTATGTGTTATTTCAGTTTTTATGTAGGGCATATTCCAGTATGCCAATGCTTTCTCCTGTCTTTTTTATTTTTAGTTCAAGGGTGGTATTTGAGATATAGTATCTCTTTCTCTTTTTCCTGTCCACTACCACACATCTATGCTACACATATCTGTGTCTATAGTAATATGAATATCTTAGAGGGGCTTTTTGGCATTTTATCCCCACAGGCTAATAGAATGTGTAGAAGAGGGAGGAGACATTAATCCTTGCTATTGGTGGGAGTAAATATAGGAAACACCATAAATACAATCACTAAAAAATTGAAAACTAAATAGTCTCATAAATGCTTATGTGATCTCTTCATATTCTTCATACAAATGAAATACAAACAAAATAAAACCTTTCAAAACTTACTCATTAGTGTTTTTTTTAAGGAACACTTGTTGGAAATGGTTCCCACCACAAGATGTGTGACTCTGTGCTGTCCCAAACAAGTTAGGCAGACTCATTATTCCCTGGAGGTCTACGCACTCAAACAGACAACAGTGTTGATGTCTGGGAAAATGTCAATGTGTGCATGTAACAAGGAAGAGCAGCCTGACCTCATTTCTATATTTTTATTATAAGGAGTTTATTATAAAGTATTTGATAAAAGAATATGTGTAATATAAATATAAACCACAGTAATGTATGATTTTAAGAGTTCTAAGAACTGTTACGGAAGCTCTGGTAGCATAGTGCCTAAGGCACTTGACTGCTAACCAGAAGGCTGGCGGTTCAAACCCACCAGCCACTCCTCGGAAGGAAGGTTGGGCAATCCTACTTCCGTAGTGATACTGCCTCGGAAACTCAAGGAGGGGTCGCTATGAGTCGGGGCCGACTCGACGGCACATAACAACAACAACAACAACAACAACTGTTACAGTGAGTGCATCTGTAGACGACTGCTTTTAATAATAAATCTTCCAAGATAAAAAATTATTATTTTGTTAAATTGTATTTTAATCATACTTATATATTGTAGCAGCACTAAGGAAGGTCATTTGGAAGGAAGGCTGGGAAGGAAGGAGCCAAGCATTTATCTAACTGATATAACAGATATACCTGACCTTTTAAATTTTACTTCTGTGTATGTTTTTTTTTAGCCCAGTGGTTCTTTATTCATTACTACTATCAACAAAACACAGCTGTCCTATGCCTTGGGAATTGTTTTTGCAGAGCAAATTGCAGGTCTTGTACCAATAGGTACTCATACATGGGAAAAGTTTGTTTCACCTGAAAAGCTAGAGAGCATTCTGGAATCAAGTGAGTATTAAAAATATATTTTTTTTTTCAGTTTATGAGGCCTAACTGAACTTTTAATGCATCTATAATTATTCTTCAGACAACCTAGCACTTAACTAAATAAGCTGGTCTTTTTTGGATGTTGGTTTCACCTCCTCCAATAGATCATAAACACCTTGATGTCAGAATACCACTTCTCTCTCACCTGTGGCACCTGTGGCCAAGCAAATAATAGATGATCAGTGTGTACCTTTTGGCTGTTTAGTCTTAAGAATGAGGTACAAATGTCTATTGCTTATACATCCCATTAGCCCTAGTAAAGACTGCTTGTATCAGCTTATCTTTACAAATTATTTTCCCTCATTTCTCCCCAGTCAGATGTTTTGAATTTCCTTTCTAATAATGTGTTTTTGGTGAAAATTTGCATGGCATATTTGATTCCCGTTCACAGTTTCTGTACACGTTGTTCAGTCACTACGGAAGTAGATTGCCCAACCTGTTCTCTACCTAATGTAAATATTCACCTCATATGCCTGTCTTTTCTTTGCTATTATGCACTTCTTAGTGGCATTGCTTACTTTGGTAAAGTTGTAAAGATTTCTGCAAGTAACCTTATTGAAATAGAATAGAAAAAATATTTTAAAGTTGCTTTTTAGGGACAATTGCTTGTTGGCAGATATTTTCTAATAACAGCTAATGTTTATTAAGTACTTGCCAAATGGCAAACACTGTGCTAAGTGTTAATTACACTTTTCACAGTGTGTCAGCATGCTCTTTAATTGCGTTCTAGTTGTTCCATGTCTGGTACAGGCAGTCCCAGAGTTACGAACGAGATCCATTCCTAACTATGTCTTTAGAATTTGTAGGCAAGTCAAGACCAGGTGCATATGGTTCTTATCTAGCCTTACTATAGTGCAGGAAAAGGCTTAAAACTTTTTCAGTGATTTAAAAGCTACATGTGTAGCAAGTAAAGGTGTTTGTGATGAAGAATTTGTTGGAAGTTGGAATTGGTTTCAAAATGAGAACAAATTTACATAACGTTGAAGGGCAAGTAGGAGTTGTCTGTTAATTGGAATTCATAACCTGGGGACTACTCTAGTGTCCCTGTACCTTTATCTTCTCATTTTTGCTTTAGAGTCACTGTTGACCTTTTAGTCTCATATAGATGGTCTTTTAATGGAGCATCACACTCACGGGTGATAGTCATTACTTTTCGTGCCAGTCTGTTATTTTGCTAAAAGATGACCTTGGGGAATAGTTCAGTTCAAGGTTTAAAGAGTATCTCAGGGTCATTGTCTCAGGGAGTCCTTTAGTCTCAACTGGTCCAGTAATTCTGGACTTTTATTATTATTATTACTGTTTTTATTTTTTTATTTTATTGTGATTAGTTTACAGAGTAAATTCACTTTCCATACAGCAGTTCACAAACACTTTGTCTCATGACATTGACTACAATTTACCATAATGCAACAGCTCCCCTCTACTTCCTCCCCATATTTACCTCTTCCCTGTGTCCTTCCCTCCATGCACTCCTGCCCCTGAGCTGTCTCCCTGTGCATAAACAGCCCTTCTTTCTCCTATGATTGTTCTCTACCTAGTGTAAAGGTTCATTTCCAAACCTGAAGGGCAGCTGGGGGCCATAGTCTCAGTGGTTAAGTCTGGACTTTTTAAGAATGTGAGTTTTGTTCCATGTTTTCTGCCCTTCCTGTCAAGGACCATTTATTGTGGCCCTGATCAGAATCATCAGCAATGGTAGCCAGGCACCATCTAGTTCTTCTGTCTTAAGGTAGATGAGGCCATGGCTCTTGTAGCTATTAGCCCTGTAGGCTAGTTTCTTCTCTGAGACTTTAGTTTCCCTGTTTCTCTTTTGCTCCTGATGAGTAGAGACCAATAGTTGTATCTTAGATGGTTGTGCTCAAGCTTGTAAAACCCCAGGTGCTACTCACCTCCCTAAGATGTAGCACATGAACTTTGTGAAGTGTATTATGTCAGTTAACTGAGTTGTCTCATGAGATTAAGGTCCTAAACTTTCAAACCCAAAAAACCAATCTCGCAAAGTATTTGATTATGTCTAAGAAGTATCTGTAACTGTGTTCTATGAATATATATGCATGCACATACATATCTGTACATATATGTACATATACTTATATCTGTGCACGCATATATATGCATCTGCACTTACCATATGCATATATGTGACCATAAAAATCAAACCATACTCACTGCCATCAAGTCAATTCTGACTCAGTGACCCCCATTGGGTTTGTGAGGTGGTAAATCTTTACAGAAGTAGATTGTTGTATCTTCCTTCCATGGAGCATCTGTGGGTTTGAATTGCCAAGCTTCTGGTGAGCAGTCAAATGCCTTAGGCACTGCAGTGTAGTAAATTACCTGGTACAGCTTTTCTAGCCATGAGTCTTTGGAAACTCTGTGGTGGAATTTGCTGTGAGCAACTGAGGAGCTCCTGATTGTTAAAGTTATCCACTTGAAGTATTTCTGGGAATTTCGCTCTCTCAGGTGTTTAGAATTCTGATGTTATGATTGGTTAGTTTGGCTACTCTGCCAGGCTCAAAAGGAGCCCTCCTAGAGGCAGAAAAAGTCTCTCTGACTGCTGGCTGAGAAAGAGGTGCAGCTGAGAGAAACACACTCCTGAGAGACACGTACTGCTGAGAGAGAGACACCAAGAGACATGCACTGCTAGGAGAGAGACTGAGAGAGACTGTTGGATGAGAGAGACTGAGCGTTGTTCCTGAACTGGAATTGTAGTCTGGTGCTTCCCTAATAAACCCTATAATCTGTGAGTTCTGTGTGGCCACTGCAATGAATTATTGAACCCAATAGAGAGATGGTGGGTGCTTTGAGAGGAATGGTTGGTGAAAGGGCTAGGGAGGCAGTATGTCTGGCCTTGCAGGAATAGGCCTTGGGCTGTTGAAGGTGATTCTGTCTTCCTCTTGTGAGGTTAGAGGAAGATGCGGCCTCTGTGCCCCTTTGGCAGGCACTATGCCACAAAAGCTCCTTTGTGTGACCATGTGCTTATTTTTGGGTTATTGTTGGTGTGTTGCCAAATTGCCTATGTCA